AATGTCCCCAAAACTGAGCTCCTAAATATTGTGTGTGTTTTATTTAAAACAGGAGGGTTCCTTTCTACCATCTTCAACTATTGCAGTGGGTCACTCACTGCAAAATCCTTCCTTATGGCCCCAATCACCAAAATAGACTCATCTTGGTTCCAGTGAATCGTCAGAGCAAAGACATGCTCCGAGTGGGGCTTTGTCTGCCTACCTGCATCGCATTGCAGGATCAGATTCCTAGTTAATAGAACAAGATACACTAAGGGGAGAGGTAGAGAGATATTGTGATCCTTGTGACTAGAAATTTAGATGCAGGAGATGGTAAATGGCTGTGTCACAGATTTGTGATGGATTTCTTTTTAAGTCAGTGTTGTAAAAAATTGTGTCAGAAAAATATTACAAATAAAGAGGCTGCGATTACCATAAGCATAAATGATTCAAGCTTTTTGGTAAGAAACAGAACACATTAGCTTATTGGTAGGCCAGAAGTATTGATATGTAACACTGTGTTTATTTTAAAAGGCAATTAGGGCTGTGCAAGTATTCACATTACCTCATCAATATGCCAAATTGATTATTAGCTGAAATTTTCAACTTCTGTCTAATGCTGAAGCATAACATATGCCATTGTTCTTTAGCACAATTGCTTTGTGACCTCAAATAAATACAGATAAAATGAAAGTCGTGAGACATACAATGGGAAAAAAATTGAAATACAGGGAACTAATTAATGACATGAAGTAAAATGGTAACTTGTGAAATTACGCTTCTGTAATGGAGAAAAAGGTTTACAAGAAGGGAACAAAAATTCATAAGAAACCTAATTGCTTGGGTGTTTTGTTTTTCCCTAAAAGGTGTGACTATTTTTGCACACACCTAAATAAGTTCAGCTCCCTTTGTGTTCGAGGACAGAAAATTACTAGTGCTCTTTTAAAGAGCCTGCATGGGGAACGGGGAAGTTTATCTTGTTTTGATATAGGAATTTTCATCTCCTGCCATCTCCTGGTACGTTGATAGCTAAATTATCTCACTTAAGTATGCAAAAGTTAGCTTGCATTTGTCCAGGCTTTCCAAGGTAGCTTTAACAGTGACAGAGCAAAACTTCTGCATTTGACTGTGGTCAATGGCAGTAAGGTGCCTAAAGAACTTTAATAATGTGGGCCTTTGGAGCCTAAGTTTTACTGAAAGTCAATGAGACTTACAGGTGCTTAAGTGCCTGAGACACTTTTGAAAATGAAACATAGCCATATAAATCATGTAGGCTTGCAGCTCTGAGTGGACCAACACCTAAATACTTTAAAAATCTTGGCCTGTGGTCCTTTTGGGAAATCTCTCTTCCTTTTACAGGTCTTGGCTATGCAAAAAAATCCTGTCCCCAAAAAAGACAACAGGAGTTTTGCCATTGACTTCAATGGAGCTAGGATTTCACACAAAGTTACATGAGCTTAACTAGAATCTGTTTTTACATAGATTGAGTTAAATCAGTGCAAACTCCTTCAAGGCCATTCTTAATTTGATTTCAGTCTGGTTTCTAGCAATTTAGCTTCAGTAGGTAAGGGATCAACACCAGCTAAATTGCTATAAACCAAGCTGAAGTCATTTTAAGAGTGTCCATTTAGAAACTGGCATTGATTTAACTAAAACAACTTTAAAACACCTCTTTAGTTACACCGGTGCAACTTTGTGTGTAGGGCACTAGAAACATTAATTAAATGTTAACCCTTCAGACACCATGAGTGACATTACTCTTCTGGATACTGACAGAACTGCTTGTCTGCTTTACTAGGCCAGAAAAGCCCGCACAACAGCTTGATCCTATGAGCTCCCAGCCCTTTTAGCTGCTACTTAAGCCTCCCACAACCTCCTCCAGCAGGACTGTCCTGTCAGTTGCTCTGACTCCAGTCCTTGCCACCAGCAAAATCTTCCTAGGACCCCCGCCTCCCGCAAACACATACACACTACTGGAAAAGCGCCTTGCTTCCCTCCCACTATATTAAGACAAATGCACCCCTCTCTGAGCCTGCTTCCACACCTAGGGAGACATCCTGCTCCCCCTGCAGTCAATGGCAAAAATACTGCTCTAAGGGTATGTCTACACTACGGAATAAGGTCGAATTTATAGAAGTCGGTTTTTTAGAAATCGGTTTTATATATTCGAGTGTGTGTGTCCCCACAGAAAATGCTCTAAGTGCATTAAGTGCATTAACTCGGCGGAGCGCTTCCACAGTACCGAGGCAAGCGTCGACTTCCGGAGCGTTGCACTGTGGGTAGCTATCCCACAGTTCCCGCAGTCTCCGCTGCCCATTGGAATTCTGGGTTGAGATCCCAATGCCTGATGGGGCTAAAACATTGTCGCGGGTGGTTCTGGGTACATATCGTCAGCCTCCCGTTCCCTCCCTCCCCCCGTGAAAGCAAGGGCAGACAATCATTTCGCGCCTTTTTTCCTGAGTTACCTGTGCAGACGCCATACCACAGCAAGCATGGAGCCCGCTCAGGTAACCGTCACCCTATGTCTCCTGGGTGCTGGCAGACGCGGTACGGCTTTGCTGCACAGTAGCAGCAACCCCTTGCCTTCTGGCAGCAGACGGTGCAATACGACTGGTAGTCGTCCTCATCGTGTCCGAGGTGCTCCTGGCCGCGTCGGCTGGGAGCGCCTGGGCAGACATGGGCGCAGGGACTACATTTGGAGTGACTTGACCAGGTCATTCTCTTTAGTCCTGCAGTCAGTCCTATTGAACCGTCTTATGGTGAGCAGGCAGGCGATACGGACTGCTAGCAGTCGTACTGTACCATCTTCTGCCAGGCAGGCAAGAGATGAGGATTGCTAGCAGTCGTATTGCACCATCTTCTGCCAGGCAGGCAAGAGATGGGGATGGCTAGCAGGCGTACTGTACCATCTTCTGCCGAGCAGCCATGAGATGTGGATGGCATGCAGTCCTTCTGCACCGTCTGCTGCCAGCCAAAGATGTAAAAGATAGATGGAGTGGGTCAAAACAAGAAATAGACCAGATTTGTTTTGTACTCATTTGCCTCCTCCCCTGTCTAGGGGACTCATTCCTCTAGGTCACACTGCAGTCACTCACAGAGAAGGTGCAGCGAGGTAAATCTAGCCATGTATCAATCAGAGGCCAGGCTAACCTCCTTGTTCCAATAACAACGATAACTTAGGTGCACCATTTCTTATTGGAACCCTCCGTGCAGTCCTGCCTGAAATACTCCTTGATGTACAGGCACCCCCTTTGTTGATTTTAGCTCCCTGAAGCCAACCCTGTAAGCCGTGTCGTCAGTCGCCCCTCCCTCCGTCAGAGCAACGGCAGACAATCGTTCCGCGCCTTTTTTCTGTGCGGACGCCATACCACGGCAAGCATGGAGCCCGCTCAGCTCACTTTGGCAATTAGGAGCACATTAACCACCACACGCATTATTCAGCAGTATATGCAGCACCAGAACATGGCAACGCGATACCGGGCGAGGAGGCGACGTCAGCGCGGTCCCGTGAGTGATCAGGACATGGACACAGATTTCTCTGAAAGCATGGGCCCTGACAATGCATGCATCATGGTGCTAATGGGGCAGGTTCATGCTGTGGAACGCCGATTCTGGGCTCGGGAAACAAGCACAGACTGGTGGGACCGCATAGTGTTGGGGGTCTGGGACGATTCCCAGTGGCTACGAAACTTTCGCATGCGTAAGGGCACTTTCATGGAACTTTGTGACTTGCTTTCCCCTGTCCTGAAGCGCATGAATACCAAGATGAGAGCAGCCCTCACAGTTGAGAAGCGAGTGGCGATAGCCCTGTGGAAGCTTGCAACGCCAGACAGCTACCGGTCAGTTGGGAATCAATTTGGAGTGGGCAAATCTACTGTTGGGGCTGCTGTGATGCAAGTAGCCCACGCAATCAAAGATCTGCTGATATCAAGGGTAGTGACCCTGGGAAATGTGCAGGTCATAGTGGATGGCTTTGCTGCAATGGGATTCCCTAACTGTGGTGGGGCTATAGACGGAACCCATATCCCTATCTTGGCACCGGAGCACCAAGCCGCCGAGTACATAAACCGCAAGGGGTACTTTTCGATAGTGCTGCAAGCTCTGGTGGATCACAAGGGACGTTTCACCAACATCAACGTGGGATGGCCGGGAAAGGTACATGATGCTCGCATCTTCAGGAACTCTGGTCTGTTTCAAAAGCTGCAGGAAGGGACTTTATTCCCAGACCAGAAAATAACTGTTGGGGATGTTGAAATGCCTATATGTATCCTTGGGGACCCAGCCTACCCCTTAATGCCATGGCTCATGAAGCCGTACACAGGCAGCCTGGACAGTGGTCAGGAGCTGTTCAACTACAGGCTGAGCAAGTGCAGAATGGTGGTAGAATGTGCATTTGGACGTTTAAAGGCGCGCTGGCGCAGTTTATTGACTCGCTTAGACCTCAGCGAAACCAATATTCCCACTGTTATTACTGCTTGCTGTGTGCTCCACAATATCTGTGAGAGTAAGGGGGAGACGTTTATGGCGGGGTGGGAGGTTGAGGCAAATCGCCTGGCTGCTGGTTACGCGCAGCCAGACACCAGGGCGGTTAGAAGAGCACAGGAGGGCGCGGTACGCATCAGAGAAGCTTTGAAAAACAGTTTCATGACTGGCCAGGCTACGGTGTGAAAGTTCTGTTTGTTTCTCCTTGATGAACCCCCCACCCCTTGGTTCACTCTACTTCCCTGTAAGCTAACCACCCTCCCCTCCTCCCTTTAATCATTGCTTGCAGAGCCGATAAAGTCATTGCTGCTTCACAGTCATGCATTCGTTATTCATTCATCACACAAATAGGGGGATGACTACCAAGGTATCCCAGGAGGGGTGGTGGAGGAGGGAAGGAAAATGCCACACAGCACTTTAAGCACAGCACTTTAAAAGTTTACAACTTTAAAATTTATTGAATGACAGCCTTCTTTTTTTTGGGCAATCCTCTGTGGGGGAGTGGCTGGTTGGCGGAGGCCTCCCCACCGCGTTCTTGGGCGTCTGGGTGTGGAGGCTATGGAACTTGGGGAGGAGGGCGGTTGGTTACAGAGGGGCTGCAGTGGCAGTCTGTGCTCCAGCTGCCTTTGCTGCAGCTCAACCATACACTGGAGCATACTGGTTTGGTCCTGCAGCAGCCTCAGCATTGAATCCTGCCTCCTCTCATCACGCTGCCGCCACCTTTGAGCTTCAGCCCTGTCTTCAGCCCGCCACTTACTCTCTTCAGCCCGCCACTTACTCTCTTCAGCCCTCCACCTCTCCTCCCGGTCATTTTGTGCTTTCCTGCACTCTGACATTATTTGCCTCCACGCATTCGTCTGTGCTCTGTCAGTGTGGGAGGACAGCATGAGCTCGGAGAACATTTCATCGCGAGTGCGTTTTTTTTCTTTCTAAGCTTCACTAGCCTCTGGGAAGGAGAAGATCCTGTGATCATTGAAACACATGCAGCTGGTGGAGAAAAAAAAAAGGGACAGCGGTATTTAAAAAGACACATTTTATAAAACAGTGGCTACACTCTTTCAGGGTAAACCTTGCTGTTAACATTACATACATAGCACATGTGCTTTCGTTACAAGGTCGCATTTTGCCTCCTCCCACCGCGTGATTTTGGTTGAATGCCAGCAAACATACACTGCAATGCTTTGTTCTACAGTGATTCCCCAGTACGTGTTGCTGTTAACATTACATACATAGCACTGTGCTTTCGTTACAAGGTCCATTTTGCCTCCTCCCACCGCTGATTTTGGTTGAATGCCAGCAAACATACACTGCAATGCTTTGTTCTACAGTGATTCCCCAGTACGTGTTGCTGGCCTGGAGTGGTAAAGTGTCCTACCATGAAGGACGAAATAAGGCTGCCCTCCCCAGAAACCTTTTGCAAAGGCAGAACCGCAAATGCCAGGGCAAAGTAATCCTTTCACATGCTTGCTTTTAAACCATGTATAGCATTTTAAAAGGTACACTCACCAGAGGTCCCTTCTCCGCCTGCTGAGTCCAGGAGGCAGCCTTGGGTGGGTTCGGGGGTACTGGCTCCAGGTCTAGGGTGAGAAACAGTTCCTGGCTGTCGGGAAAACCGGTTTCTCCGCTTGCTTGCTGTGAGCTATCTACAACCTCCTCATCATCATCTTCTTCGTCCCCAAAACCTACTTCTGTATTGCCTCCATCTCCATTGAAGGAGTCAAACAACACGGCTGGGGTAGTGGTGGCTGAACCCCCTAAAATGGCATGCAGCTCATCATAGAAGCGGCATGTTTGGGGCTCTGACCCAGAGCGGCTGTTCGCCTCTCTGGTTTTCTGGTAGGCTTGCCTCAGCTCCTTCAGTTTCACGCGGCACTGCTTCGGGTCCCTGTTATGGCCTCTGTCCTTCATGCCCTGGGAGATTTTCAGAAAGGTTTTGGCATTTCGAAAACTGGAACGGAGTTCTGATAGCACGGATTCCTCTCCCCAAACAGCGATCAGATCCCGTACCTCCCGTTCAGTCCATGCTGGAGCTCTTTTGCGATTCTGGGACTCCATCATGGTCACCTCTGCTGATGAGCTCTGCATGGTCACCTGCAGCTTGCCACGCTGGCCAAACAGGAAATGAGATTCAAAAGTTCGCGGTTCTTTTCCTGTCTACCTGGCCAGTGCATCTGAGTTGAGAGCGCTGTCCAGAGCGGTCAGAATGGAGCACTCTGGGATAGCTCCCGGAGGCCAATACCATCGAATTGTGTCCACAGTACCCCAAATTCGAGCCGGCAACGTCGATTTAAGCGCTAATCCACTTGTCAGGGGTGGAGTAAGGAAATTGATTTTAAGAGCCCTTTAAGTCGAAATAAAGGGCTTCATTGTGTGGACGGGTGCAGGTTTAAATCGATTTAACGCTGCTAAATTCGACCTAAAGTCCTAGTGTAGACCAGGGCTTAGTGATGCAGCACAGAATTTGCAGTCAGGGAGCGGAGGCTAAAGTGATTTTTAAACCACATTTGTGCTTTCCCAATCCTGGGTTGCTCCAGGTGCTGAAGGGGCCCTTGGCAGAACTTAGAGAGCCCTGGGGCCTGTCTCAGCACTTGGCAGCCTCCTTGGACTACTTTATGGGCTATGGCACTGTGCAGAATCCCCACAGTGCCGCAGCCACATCCTTGGTACCATCCTCCTGCCCTACACCTGGCACGCTCCCTACACCAGGCCTTGCGAGAGCCATAAGCCATCCTGAGGCCTTATCTCCCATAGTGCCAATGCTGGATACGGGGCTTTCAGAGCCCTTTTTGCTTCTCTGGCCCTACAGTTCTCACCCCTCCACACCCCTGGACAAAGGGGCTGGGGAGCAGTGAGAACCATAGTTTAAGGGTTAACCATCCTGGTACCTGGGTAATGGTCTTAGGGTTAGCTATAGACACTTTATAGCCACTACCTTATAAAATCTTTACTTGGGTAAGGATAAGAGATATCAGGAAATCCATTGTCTATATTCTTTTGAAATAAAAAATATTTTTATTATTGTACAGAAAAGTAGCTAGAACATTGGTCTTCCCTTCCTTAGCCTTGGGGCCATGAGGACTGAGCTCCCAAGTCATTGTCCAAACAGGTTTCAGAGGAACAGCCGTGTTAGTCTGTATTCGCAAAAAGAAAAGGAGTACTTGTGGCACCTTAGAGACTAACCAATTTATTTGAGCATAAGCTTTCGTGAGCTACAGCTCACTTCATCAGATGTATACCGTGGAAACTGCAGCAGACTTTATATACACACAGAGAATATGAAACAATACCTCCTCCCACCCCACTGTCCTGCTGGTAATAGCTTATCTAAAGTGATCAACAGGTGGGCCATTTCCAGCACAAATCCAGGTTTTCTCACCCTCCACCCCCCCACACAAATTCACTCTCCTGCTGGTGCTAGCCCATCCAAAGTGACAACTCTTTACATAATCAAGTCGGGCTATTTCCTGCATAGATCCAGGTTTTCTCACATCCCCCCCACCCCCATACACACACAAACTCACTCTCCTGCTGGTAATAGTTCATCTAAACTGACCACTCTCCAAGTTTAAATCCAAGTGAAACCAGAACATCTGGGGGGGGGGGGTAGGAAAAAACAAGAGGAAACAGGCTACCTTGCATAATGACTTAGCCACTCCAAGTCTCTATTTAAGCCTAAATTAATAGTATCCAATTTGCAAATGAATTCCAATTCAGCAGTTTCTCGCTGGAGTCTGGATTTGAAGTTTTTTTGTTTTAAGATAGCGACCTTCATGTCTGTGATTGCGTGACCAGAGAGATTGAAGTGTTCTCCGACTGGTTTATGAATGTTATAATTCTTGACATCTGATTTGTGTCCATTTATTCTTTTACGTAAAGACTGTCCAGTTTGACCAATGTACATGGCAGACGGGCATTGCTGGCACATGATGGCATATATCACATTGGTGGATGTGCAGGTGAACGAGCCTCTGACAGTGTGGCTGATGTTATTAGGCCCTGTGATGGTGTCCCCTGAATAGATATGTGGGCACAATTGGCAACGGGCTTTGTTGCAAGGATAAGTTCCTGGGTTAGTGGTTCTGTTGTGTGGTATGTGGTTGTTGGTGAGTATTTGCTTCAGGTTGCGGGGCTGTCTGTAGGCAAGGACTGGCCTGTCTCCCAAGACTTGTGAGAGTGTTGGGTCATCCTTTAGGATAGGTTGTAGATCCTTAATAATGCGTTGGAGGGGTTTTAGTTGGGGGCTGAAGGTGACCGCTAGTGGCGTTCTGTTATTTTCTTTGTTAGGCCTGTCCTGTAGTAGGTAACTTCTGGGAACTCTTCTGGCTCTATCAATCTGTTTCTTTACTTCTGCAGGTGGGTATTGTAGTTGTAAGAAAGCTTGACAGAGATCTTGTAGGTGTTTGTCTCTGTCTGAGGGGTTGGAGCAAATGCGGTTGTATCGCAGAGCTTGGCTGTAGACGATGGATCGTGTGGTGTGGTCAGGGTGAAAGCTGGAGGCATGCAGGTAGGAATAGCGGTCAGTAGGTTTCCGGTATAGGGTGGTGTTTATGTGGCCATTGTTTATTAGCACTGTAGTGTCCAGGAAGTGGATCTCTTGTGTGGACTGGACCAGGCTGAGGTTGGTGGTGGGATGGAAATTGTTGAAATTATGGTGGAATTCCTCAAGGGCTTCTTTTCCATGGGTCCAGATGATGAAGATGTCATCAATATAGCGCAAGTAGAGTAGGGGCTTTAGGGGACGAGAGCTGAGGAAGCGTTGTTCTAAATCAGCCATAAAAATGTTGGCATACTGTGGGGCCATGCGGGTACCCATAGCAGTGCTGCTGATCTGAAGGTATACATTGTCCCCAAATGTGAAATAGTTATGGGTAAGGACAAAGTCACAAAGTTCAGCCACCAGGTTAGCCGTGACATTATCGGGGATAGTGTTCTTGACGGCTTGTAGTCCATCTTTGTGTGGAATGTTGGTGTAGAGGGCTTCTACATCCATAGTAGAAGGCTGTCACTAAATGGGTCAGAACTCAGTTTGTTTAAACACTCTCAATATGTAGAAAGGTTTCAGAGTAGCAGCCGTGTTAGTCTGTATTCGCAAAAAGAAAAGGAGTACTTGTGGCACCTTAGAGACTAACCAATTTATTTGAGCATAAGCTTTCGTGAGCTACAGCTCACTTCATCGGATGCATTCAGAGGGGGGTGGCGGGGGATTAAAACGCCTATGTGCAGTGTCAGGCAAATGACGAGAGAGTCAGAAATCGTGGTCTTCTGTATACTCTGAATTGGCTCATGGAACTGTAAATTTTCTTCTTATTTGTCCATGGGCCATTTGCCATACATGACTCCATTCATCTGTGGTAATTTTTCTCTCCATAACCACTTGCACTGAGTATGACTCTGATTTTTATATTATGCCTCTGAGACATGAAGCCCTTCTGGTGCTTTTACATAGCATTGTAAACAGATCGGCTCTGGCCTCCCCAGATAACGATCTCTGGCTGTAGCCTCATCCGTTAATCATGGTCCACACCTGGCGAGACAGAAAAGCACTGCTCTTTGTAGACAGATTGAATGTTTGTTCGGAGCAATGCGTGATGTGTCTCTAGTCTAATGCATACAATTCAGTGTTGTGGCAATGGCTTTCCCTGCTATGCAGACTCTTTTAAAGGTAGGCTCTCCTGTAACAATATCTGGGTTTTTGCCTATAGGGGAGATTGTGTTAGGATCTTTAGGCGTCTATAAGCCTTCTCAAGAACAGACATTCTGAAATACAGAGTTTGGAAATCTTTCACATTAATATAAAAAGCCCTAGCCCTGTGACCTCTGAAGTTATCGTTGCTATGGGAAAAAAATAACTTCTTCTAAGCAAGCTTAGACTTTGCTGAATGTAGTAGCCCTGCATCCCAGGATCTGCTCTTCCTTCCCACATCCTGTGACTGTACCCTCTCCCAGATATAAAAGCTTTCTTCATGAGGATTTTCACTGAGTGTATTTGAATGAAACATTTGCATAAGGTGAGAGATATTGTAAACGTTCCCAGCAGCAGCCTCTGTCTGTGCCCAACGCCTGTGGTCAGGCTAAAAAGAGAGCAAATGTAGCAATGTGACAAAGGGGATGGAGCTTCATTAGAGTGTGGTTTTATTATGAAAAGTGACTCTGTAAAAATTGCACCTTCTTACTCTGCTCCCAGGGTGCCGCATGAGTCACTAAAGGCAGCAGATGCAACTACAATAAGTTTCTAACATCTTACACCCACTGGCATGGCACCGCCAACAGAGACAGGCAAATGAAGCGGATTCTACTCTGGGTCATTCATCAACAGAATGGTTTACTAACTTCCAGTCTGTCACACCTGAGCAATCTCACTGAGGGCATTACCACTGAGGGCATTAAACAGACAGGGGGTTTGTATAGATGTAACAAGTGACCTAATTTGGCCTGCAATCTTTGTGACTGGTAATGAGGAACAAGAAGAAAAGAACCCATCTTGGTCCTGGGAATTTTACTTGTGAAGTGAGCACATTTAGGGCAGAGAGAGAGAGAGAGAGAGAGAGAACAAATATGCCTCTTAGCCCCCCAATGCAACAGTCATTTTTCAGAGCAGAAGCACATTTTAAACTCTGCCGAAATTCTTAATTTCCACAGAGCATGCTCAGAAGTGACTTTTCCCAACTGCTTATAATTTTATTCTCTAATTTTAATTCCCTCCCTCCTTCCAACCAAAGGACAAGGTCCCAATCCTGCAACCCTTACTCATGTCAGTAGTGAAGAATCTGACCCCAAATGCCCCGTAAGGCATCTGTAACATTTCAAATTTCAACCTCCATTCATTTTTCTCTAACCTTGTTCAAAAAGGGTTTGATTTTTTTATGCCTGGAAAAGTGCTTCTGACCCCAATATTATTAATCATTTACATAGCTGTAGCACTCAAAGGCCTGAAACAGGATCAGGGCAACACAGCGCTGGGAACTGTACAACTGCAGATGAAGAGAATCTCCACCCTTTTGACTTCCAGAACTCAAAAACAGTTGGAAAGTGACTTGTATGAAAATAGTACCATTGGGCAGAGATCAGGCCAAGAAAATTTCAGGCCAAAAGGTTGGGTGCTTCAGAGAGCTATCAATGGGTAAAACTGGAAACCGGTTTGTCACCTAATAACTGCAGATGTTATTAGGTGCTAGCAATAATAAAATTGTCTATGCAAAGATTTCAAAAGTTGTGCAAAAAGAATCTGGCTGAAGCTATAATTAGGACAAGTGCCATTCTGAAGTGCTGCTGAAGGTAAAGCAAAGCCATTAGGTATTTCAGGGGAATCTTAAGTGACTTTCCCAACTGTGTTTTATTGTCATGTTCTTGCGAAGATCCTCCAGCTAGACATATCCTATGGTGAAAACAACACTGAGTTCACCATGTGTTAATCTCCCAAGACCATGCTCCAAAGAGCAACACTGGAGCTTCAAAAAGATTCTGCACAGCTTCTAAACTTGTGAACAGACCCTTGCTGTGGACTGGAGAAAATAAAATATGCTTTTTCCAGGATATACAAAGACTGATTTCCTCCCAACTTCTCTGAAAACACAAATCAATGAGTCTAAAATAGCCCACTGTGTGAAGAGGGATTCAAATTTGCTACAATCCGAACAGCCGTTCAGAGTCTGAGCTGAGGGGGGACTGCAGAACTTGCAGCACTGACATTTTTTCATATTTCATATGGAGTAGCTGGTTTTCATGCATTCTCCATTTCATGGACTATTCCTTTCCAGCCTCTTTTTAAATCCTCATTTTAAAACTATTTCCATGTGCTGTAGCCCAGCCGACTTGAGGACCACCTCCTGCTCCCTATAGGTTCTTCTCCCACCATAGACCTTTTTATTGTTGAAAAGGGATATGGTGTTGGGTGTAGAACTTCTGAGTTGGGATTAGATATCTCCAAGTACAGCGGACCCTCGCTAGACTGCGGGTCTATAAAACACGAATTTGCATATAATGTGGTCATGGCCATGGATCTCAAATTTAATTACTTTCATTGGAATTCATTTTAAGGCGGTCCCCGCGTTAACGCAGTACCGCGCAGGGATCCCAAATCCTGCGTTCTAGCAAGGGTCCGGTGTACTTATTTCTGTCTTAAGTGTTAGTTCCTGCTGAGTATCACAACCTACAGTCGATCATCCTCTTTACGATCCAGTTTGCTTAATAGCTCTCCTGTACACAGCCCCCAATCCCTTGCATTGCGTTGGTCTTCCAACTATAGTTGGCCTTTCACTCATCTCATCATCAATTATGCCACACATCATTATGTGGAGAAGTTACAATGAATGGGCCTGATTCACAACTTGGACCCAGGCTCCATCCCGTGGTGGTGGAATGTCGGACTGGAGAAGGATGCAGAGGAATAAGCCTAACACATTCTTCCAGTGTGGGCGTGGAGCTAGCCAGCACTGGCTGCAGAGAGGATAGGGTTAGTGTACCGAAGTAGCGCCTGATTCAATACATCTCCCAGGCAGCTTTCGTTCGGAGACTGAAGCTGCCCTACTAGCTGGTAGAGGACAGCCATTTCCCCCGGGATAAAACTTCCCTTCGGGTACAGTTATTGCTGTGTCTGCGCCGGTGAATCGACCCCAACAGTCCATGAAACGCTGAAGTGGATTAATTACACCCTTCTCTGTTGTTTTCCAGTTTTGACCATGGCCATAAAGTACTCGGTGCTACAGGATCTTAACTCCCCAGAGTTATTGCTTTTTGCAGGATTATGCCTGTTTCGGTGACAGGATACTCTGGGACCAAGTGCTGGCGTTCACTTCAGGTGTAGTTTTTTTTGTCATGTACTGAGAATCTGTTGTCCAGGTGTGTATCAGTCCCTAGGCTCCATTGAGAGTCGTAGCGTTTAAGGCCATAAGGGACCATCAGATTGTCTAGTCTTACCTCCTGTATATCACAGTCCATCAACACCACCCGGTACCCACACACTAATCCCAACAACTGAAATTAGACCTCAGTATTGCAGCCCCCAGGAAACTAGACTATTATGAGACACAGACAGAGAATAGGAGGCATAGAAGTACACCAGTGCCTACTATACGACTCATTCTCTCATTAGCCTGTGCACGAGTTTGTTTGAACCCCATATAAATTGAGGTTCCACATACCTGTTGTAGGTTTAAACTAATTATTAGGTTATAGGACACTTAAGATACTCTCTACAAATTGGAACCATGTTGTAACACAATCGGGGACAATTGTATAGCACCTGGGTACTTTATATTTCTAATGCAGATGGATCCAAAAGGGGCTGAGTACGCATTCCCTTTGTTATTAGTTGTCTCTGCCTAATGTTATTTATTTATTCTTTTTCGGGTATTCATTTTTATTCTGCCATTTAACCATTTGAAATATGGTGCTGGTCTGGGGCCTTACATGCATTCCCAAGCATACCTGTCTGTATCTAAAAAATATGCAAATTTTAAAAAATAGTAAAGTACTCAGTTACTAGTGAGTTAAAAAACCCAGAACAAGCCTGCTAGTTTCTCTTTATTTTAGAAATGAAAAAATACTCTGATATCAAACTCTCTCTCTCTCCAACAAGAGACCAGTCACCAAATTGATGACTTGTGGATTAACCAAACAATCTAACAAGTCATTTGTAGAAATGGCCATTTGTGAAGAGTTTGCATTGCTGTCTGCATCGGTTTGATCTGCAAGTGTTTCGCAGTCATTAATCATTACTGATTGCTTCCCACTGCAGCGTAATTTTCCAAAATGTCCTTCTTCATTTTCGCTGAGAAGGTCTCTAGAGTCACTTTCCACTGCTCCTGCCCCCACTGAGCTTCCTTCTTGAGACTGTGGTAATACTGGAATAAGATGCACCCCGAAAGGTATTTTCTCCAACTTTTTTGCTTGAACCACTGTAAAACCAGCTTCATGGGTCCATGATTTATAGTCCTCTGGTTTGGTGTTGACTTCTATTTTCCTTCTTTTATATGAAGACGCCTCCTTCTCTGTATCATGGGTGCTGGGATCTCTGTCCTTGGATACAGTTACCTTTTGATATTCTAAGTATGCAGACATTGCTCCATTTAAGTACTGAAGATTGATTTCATGGGATGTTGCCTCGACCTAAACAAGCAAACAAAAAAAACATAGTGAGCAAGCTGTATGTTTCTATTCAATGCTATGCTTATTCCTAGCTGTATGAAAGGCACATAACAATTTATTACACAGGAAGAAAAGACTCATAGTAAGTTTAAAAGAAATGTCAGTAACTCCAGGCTATCGCTGCTAATGGAAACAAGAGGGCGCTTACTTCTGTGGGATTCAGCCAGGCATCCACACGGCTGGGGTTTTCTGCAGATTTTATGGCACACACTAGTGTTCGAGTTACTGCCTCTTCCACCCGGGCTTTGTGATCTGCATCCTATCCCAAGGAAATAAAAGGTAAATGGAGAAAATCTGGCACTTTGCACCCTTTAGAAAGCCTGAGGACCTTGGAAAGGATCAAACCAAGAGCCTTAACTTGAAAATCCTTCTTAACACAAGAAGTCATAGGATTACTCACATGAAGAAGAGGTTGCAAGAGGGATTATTTTGTTAATTAAATCTGGTACCTCATAAATGATACAGCATATGGATCCTGTTGAATTTCTAATGATATGCATTTATATAGCCCCTTTATCTAAATGGACCACAATAGCATTTTACAAAATTATACAGATACATATTTTAAACACTTGAAACACAAAGGATATTACTGTGAGATAGCAAATACCTTGGGGCTACTAAGGCACATTACTAAGTCCTATGAAAAATCAGGAAGCTTGTTGTCATCTGACAGTAAGAGAAGCCCACTAACATGTTGTTGCAGTTTTAGATAGTAACAAAAGGAAAAACAAATGTTTCCTTCACTGAAGGATGCTGATGGGCTTCGGCTACACTAAAAAGATCAGTAATTGATACAGCTTCGCAAATGTGAAACAACACAAAATTGAAGAAAATGTATAAAATGACATAAAACAAAACTCACCCCACAGTGGCAGCTCCTGTCTCATGGGGCCAGGGCTGGGGAGGTCTATTCTGGTTTCGCCCAGCCACTCCCTCATCACCTGGGTCAAATCTGAGTGGCACTGTGATGTTGCAATGGCCAGAAAGGAGAACTGGGCCCAGCCCTGTGAGACAGGAGCTGCCGCTGTGGGGTGAGTGCAGGGCAGTCTCGCTCTGCAACATCGCAGGCCCTCCCACTCTCCTGGCAGGCAGGATAACACAAAATAACATGACATTCCCAAAAAATAAAATGAAAAATTATAAAAAGATTAAGAGTCTTATGGGGCTCTTGTAATTGATTTTTGCATGGTACAAACCTTCAGTTCTCCCTTCACCCCTTGGCCAGCTAGACATGGGCTAATTTGGGATTTTAGAACAGAGAAACATAATTTTGAAAGACAGTCCATTGTCTTCCACTTTCTATTTAACTGAATAGCTTAGCGGCAGTGGAGGGGTAGTTAGAAGGTAAGGAGGTTGATCAGGGCGTACAGCGTTGATTAGCACTTGGATATCACAGTGTTAAGTACACTAGAAATGGACAGATAATTTAAGAGTCACTTGGGCTCTTAGAGGGAAAGCAGAAAAAAAAAGGAAGATGTAAAATAAGTATGAGACAGCCAGCCATGGACTGTCAAATGTTGGGTTGGGGGTTTGAAACATTAGGATGTGTCCAGCCTTATAGCTTGCTGGGGAGGGTGTTAAAGGCTGTAATGCATCTTGGGAGTTTCACAGTAGAACCTGGGATTCAAGCAGAAAAATAATCTATCTTCATTTCTGCAAACTAGTTTTAGGACAAAAATTCTGCCATTGGTGGAGTGTGTGGGGCTGTCATAGGGGGTATCTGTTCACATTTATTAACGTGCTTTTATAAAAACCTCCTCCCTGCGAAAATGACAACATCCTGATTTCTACATATAGTAAAGTTGTCATCAAGGGTTAACTGGGTTACTCAGAGTAGCAGCCATGCTCCATTCCTTTCTTCTTGTCTAGTTAGAGGGAATTGACTCCCTCTTCCCCTCTAGGCTCTGTTGTGATGTAGTAAAATAAAGCAGCATGTTCCCAGCCTGCAGTCCTGTGAGTACACTTACTTTTGTTGCACTGAACAATCAATTTGCAAAACTACACATGTAAACGGTTAATATTTTTCAAGGTATTGTGATCTTGGGAGTCATCCTACTATGCTAAATCCTGGGGCTGCATTAATCATGTGACTTAGTTCGTTAGAAAGCAGGGTTTGAATCTGTCACATTATGTTGAAAACAAATTAAACTTCTACTCTTATTCTAAAAAGTCTTGGCAAAATAATTAATGGCATCACTCGGATGATGCTGGCATGACACGCATCTGTCAAAGTGAAAGTGGCTGGTTACAGCTCCAAGTGAGAGAACTGCTTGAATAGGTAAAGGAAGCGTTCTCAATATTATATTTTAGTGCCAGTGTCATGAATTATTTTCATAGATGGATTGCCCACATCTAAAAACAATGTTGCTGTCATCTGCCGGGGTAATAGGCTGTAATCAACTGTCACCCACGCCACAATGATTACACGCAGTCCTTTCTAAGGTTAAACTACTGTGCAATTTACTTAGTAGCCAAAGTAATTTATTTTGTTTGTGGGGCCTTTTAATTTTTGATATCTTATTAGGAAAATCCAACAGACTCTGTTCAAATTGGACTCCCATTGTGTTCAGTCAGAGCTTTCCCTAGTAAAGGCTGCAGAATTTGGCTCTATTTTATTGTACCAGTGGATAACAAAATGAGAAAACAGTAAGGGAAAGGAAACAAAAATATGTCCAACCACTAGCACTAGCATTCTGTATTTATCCGTATAGGACAGAGGTGGCCAACCTGCGGCTCCGGAGCCCCATGCGGCTCTTCAGAAGTTAACATGCGGCTCCTTGTATAGGCACCAACTCTGGGGCTGGAGCTACAGGCGCCAACTTTCCAGTGTGCCGGGGGGTGCTCGCTGCTCAACCCCTGGCTCTGCCACAGGCCCTGCCCCCACTCCACCCCTTCCTGTCCCCTCCCCTGAGTCTGCTGTGCCCTCACTCCTCCCCCCTTCCCCCCCAGAGACTCCTGCACGCCATGGAACAGCTGATTTGGAGGCGCAGGGAGGGAGGGAGGGGGAGGTGCTGATTGGTGGGCTGCTGGGAGGCACTGGGGGGGGGGGGGAAGCTGAGGGGTGGCTACTGATGTATTACTGTGGCTCTTTGGCAATGTACATTGGTAAATTCTGGCTCCTTCTCAGGCTCAGGTTGGCTACCCCTAGTATAGTACAATGGGCCAGACTCTGACCTGCAACTCCTGAGTGCAGAACAGAGGGAATGCAGTGTTCCTAGCTGCCCCCTGTACGTGACACTGTGTAGGAGACTGGCGTAGGACTGCTACACATTGTTCTTCTAGCTGAATATCCCTTACAATGAGAATTCTTTCCAAGGAGGATCCACCCAGGTTTGAACCCCTCTGTTCTTCCAGAGCAGCATAAAGGTGCCAGAAGATGGCCCAGAAAAGGGGCCAGCCCTGTATAACTCTTTGTTCCTATCATTTCAGCACCTCATAGATTTCTATCCTAGTAAAAAGCCTGTTTCTTTCGCCACTTTAATAGTATTTCATACTAAGATAGTATTCACGATAACGTGATTTGGGTTTGAAAACATTGTGGAGTATTGAGACTATATCACTGGAATGATCACATATCTATTGGTTAACAAACACAGTAAAAATCAACGCCTAGAGAAAAGGGAAATTAACTAAACCAGAAAATCCAATACAAGCACAATCTCCACTTTCAGGAAGATGTGAATTAAAACATTTCAGGCAGTCGTATTATTTGCCATTAATTTTGTTTGTCATTTAGGCCCTGATCTGGCAAAGCACTTAAGCATATGCTTTACTGAACAGGGAAGGAGTCAAGCTCATGTTTAAGTCCATCCCTATTCAGCAAAGCAATTAAACACATGCTTAAATTTTAACCTGTGACATAAAAATATACTTTTTTTTTTGTCCCATTGAAGTCACAGGTTAAAATTAAGCATGTGTTTAATTGCTTTGCTGAATAGGGTGAATCTAAGGACATGCTTGAGTTCAAGTGCTTTGCTGAATCAGGGCCTTAAATTCTGAGCCTTCAAATCCTTATTCATGTAAAGTCTGACTGATCATGTTGTTTAGGGGTAGAGCCTGCCTCCTCCCTTGCCAAGCCATGAATGAAGCTGCTAGGCAGGGGGCAAGATTAAAGGGAGCCTCTACAAGGCTCCTTGTAGTCTAGTGTAGAGGATTTAGAGGAAGAGCTAGGCCAGTGGATGCATGATTAAAGCTCTTTCCTCAAGAGTAGGCATGTAATAAATCTGTGACCTGGTCAAATTCCCCTCTGTAGTATTAGTTAGAGAAGTTATTCTGCTTCCCGATTTTCCTTACTAAAAACATCCAGGCAAACACAAACAGTTGTGCAATGTATTGGCCCAGCATGGCTGCATTCTAGTGATGGGTGATAAATGATCCTTCTATAAACACAAGTCTGTAAAGTGTGTTGGGATCCCTCTTGATGAAAGGTGCTATAAAAATGTTAGATTATTATTATTATAAACCACTCTAATGTGGCTCATCATGTCATCAGATGTGGGGCAGAATTATCTATTTTTAACCAGTGAGCTTACACTATATGGCATATGCTTTGTAGCTTAAGAACCCCACAGCAATGACTTAAAAGGAACGTACCAGTTCAATCCAAGAGTTTATACTGACTGTGATGGGGTCAATGCTTTCTACATAGTGCCACCAGTGTCTGGGAACAAACAGGACCTGAAATGAAGGGACACAGTCATTAGGATAGCAGCAGAAATCTTCCTTTTTCAAATACTGTAGCAAATGGTCCACTAAACCTCTAGTGTAACAGTAATATTTCCCTTATCTAAAAGGAAGTTGGAAGAGTATTTCCAGTTTGAAACAGTAAGGCAAAAATGATGGTAAAGTCTCATTAGCAAAGCACCATACTGTACCCAGAATCATTCAAAGAAAGCAAATGTTGTTTGTATATAGCTTTCATCCAAAGAGTTCAAACTCAAATACATTTCACCTGTGAGGTAACAGCATGCCTTTTATGTAGATGGGCACACAGAGATTAAATGATTTGCCCATGGTCACATAAGAGGTTAGCCATGTCTACAATGCAGGGGGTCTGACTTTCATTTCTCCCTCAAGCTCAGCATATTCCACTGTCTCACAATATCAGTAGCTACTGTGTATGACCGCGGACACAATCCTGTACTACCTCTTATCCAAAATCCTCTTATCTGACACAGGGTTGTAACCCCATAACTGTTTCAGTTAAGCGAGGTCCAGATGCATAAAAAGCTGCCAGCTAGCTTAGCAGGGCTTTAGAGAAAGTCCTAACCAGACCCTGCTGAGCAAGGACTCTTTGTAGACTCTCCAGTTTAGTAGGCTTTCCAGTTTCTTTATAAAGACTGCCAAGCTGGCTTCCCCAGGAAGTCAGTGTTCTGAAGTTCTTCTAGGTGATTAATAACGTGCAGCTCTAATTCTAGTGAATAACTATCCTTTATTACACTTGTCAAATTTAGTAGACTATTTAAAAAATAAGGTGCCCTAAAAATCATGACTATCTAGTTTAGATCAGAGCTATATTACTATATTAGTGTGATATTTTTGACATAAAATTCATTTTAAACCTTGGTTTTTATGGTACGAAGACATTAACATTGTTTTGATGATATAGTACTAGCTTTATAGATTACAGAACACTAGATTAACATAGGGTTATCAAGAACAGCATAAAAGACTGTTTTTTAATGGGTAAGAAAATGGTTGGACTATAGAGACAGGAAAAAGATACACTTCAGTAAGGGGAAGAGCAGCAATGATTTTTATCTGAACTGTGGACAGTTTTTTTTCTTGCTAGACACAAATTACTTATAAGAATGTCCTATCATCAAGATAACCACCTTTTCAGATAATACAGTACTGGGTTGACTAGAAAACTATATGGAAAAAAAGACCAATGAGGCCCCCATTCTACAAACACTTACATACACATTTAACTTTATGTACACAAGTTGTCTCATTTAAGTCAATTAAGCACCTGCATAAATGGATGTAGTATCAGGGCTTGTGAGCCTAGGTTAATTTTGGATGATGAGCTGAAATATGGCTCACAAGTTTCCATTTAAAACAAGCGAAAGGCTGTACATGTTTGAGCGTCAAGAATATCCAGAAAGTAACCTTAATCTCATGCAGCTTACAGACCAGAGTAAGTGGATGTTCTGAGCAAGAACAAACCGAATCATGCAGCTGTGAGCACAATGCATATGTGCCATTAAACAAACCAAATGTTAAAATGTAGATGTGGTGCAGAAGTCCAAAGACGTTACAGATTCCTCCGCTTGCTAAAGATTGATCACAATGGTGTTAATTCAGACAAGTCCTATGGCCTGTGTTATACAGGTCAGACTAGATGATAATGGTCCACTCTGGTCTCAGAATCTATGAATATAGTACCCAGTTTTAGAGTTTGAACTTGATCTACCAAAGTCAATAGCAAAACTCTAAGCACCGATACTCATTTACACTAAGGCCACTTCACACCATCACTCAGGAGTGTAATGTATGCTTCCTTTACACTGCCAGAGCAGTGTGAATGGCATCAGAATAAATGAAAAGCAGGCCCTAAGGTCCAGGGTGAAATCCTGGCACCACTGACATCTACAGTAAAACTCCTATTGACCAGCATTTCATTTTGAAAGTTCTGATATATTAGCTGGTGACAGGAAGGGGGAGTAGAAAGAAGAGGGAAGGATATAATATTCTTAGACTTCTGTATGGCATTTGACTTGGGATCGCACTTGGGATTTGATTAAAATAACTAGACCAATATAAAATTAACATGGCACACATGAAATGGATTTAAGCTGGCTAACGGATAGGTCTCAAATGTAATTGTAAACGGAGAATCATCAATGAAGCAGGTGTTTCTAGTAGGGTCCCAAAGGAATCAGTTCTTGGCATATGCTATTTAATGTTTTTATTAATGATTTTATGTTTTCTTCCTCATCATCAATGATAAAGTTGCAGATGACACAAAAATTGGGGGAGTGGTAAATAATGAAGGGGAGAGGCCACAAATACAGAGCTGTCTGGATCGCTTGGAACGCTGACAGCAAGCAAACAATGGTGTGTTCTAATATGGCTAAATGTATACAGCCAGACAAAGAACACTGGCCATACTTACAGGATGGGGGACTCTATCCTGGGAAGCAGTGACTGAAAAAGATTTGGGAGTCATGGTGGATAATCAGCCTAACATAAGGTCCCAGTGTGCTGCTGTGCCCAAAAGGGCTAACACTATCATTGGATGTTTTGAATAGGAATCTAGAGTAGGAGTAGAGAGGTTATTTTACCTCTGTATTTGGCACCGACATGATGGCTGCTAGGATACTGTGTCCAGTTCTGGTGTCCGCCATTCAAGAAGGATGTTGATAAATTGGAGAGGGTTCAGCAGAAAGTCACGAGAATGATTAAAGGATTAGAAAACATGCCTTATTGTGACAGGCTCAAGGAGCTCAATCTATTTAGCCTAACAAAGAGAAGGTTAAGGGATGACTTGATTACAGTCCGTACATACATATGTGTGGAACAAATAATAATTGGATCTCAACTGAGTCATAACACAATCCAATGCTGGAAGTTGAAGCCAGGCAAATTCAGACTAAAAATAAGGCATACATTTTTAACGGTGAATAATTCATCATTGGAACAATTTACCGAGGGTTGTGGTGATTCTCCATCACGGGCAGTTTTAAAATCAAGATTGGATGTTTTTCCAAAAGATCTACTCTAGGAATTATTTTGGGGAAGTACTATGGCCAGTGTTATCCAGGTGGTCAGACTAGATGAGGGGCGGGCAAACTTCTTGGCCTGAGGACTGCATTGGGTTTCTGAAATTGTATGGCGGGCCGGTGTGCGCCTCCCCAAACAGCCAGGCATGGTTTGGCCCCCGCCCCCTATCCGACATCCCCCTGCTTCTCACCCCCTAATGGCCCCCTGGCAACACCTGTCCCATCCACTCCCCACTGCCTTCTGTCCCCTGACCGCCGCCAGACCTCCTGCCCCATTCAACCTCCCCTCTCTTTCCTGACTGCCCCCCCAACCACCCCTTCTTCCTGACTGCCCCCGGACACCCTGCCCCTGACTGCTCCCGCCACCCCATCCAACCCCTCCTCTCATTCCTGACTGCCCCTCTGTTCCCTGCCCTCTGACCAACCCAACCCCTATCCACATCCCCAGCCCCTGACCTCCCCCCGCATTCCCCTGCCCTCTATCCAGCCCCCGCTACTCCCTGCCCCCTTACCATGCTGCCTGGAGCACCGGTGGCTGGCGGTGTGGCTGTACCAGGACAGGCAGCCGCACGGTGCAGCACAGAGCACTGGGTCAGGCCGGGCTCTGATGCTGCGCTGCCCCGGGAGCTCGCAGCCCCGCCGCCCAGAGCATTGCGCTGACAATGCAGTGAGCTGAGGCTGCGGGGGAGGGGGGAACAGCAAGGGAAGGGCCTCCCGGTCCAGGAGCTCAGGGGCCGGGCAGGACAGTCCCGCGGGCCGCATGTGCCCTGCGGGCTGTAGTTTGCCCTCCTCTGGGCTAGATGATCACAATGGTCCCTTCAGGCCATTGTGATGTATGGGAAATATTGCTTACAGTTCTAGTGCAACAGGCTTCCAGGAAAATGGAAGAGGAGGAAACTGGTTGAATGGAATATGATGTGGAGGAAGAGGATGGGAAAGAATATCTATAGCACTTCTCACGTAGATCTCTAAGTGCTTTACAAAGGAGGTCAGTATCATTATCCCCATTTTACAGATGAGGAAACTGAGGCACAGGGAGAAGTGACTTGTTCAACATCATGTAATAAATCAGTGGCAGAGCTAGGACTAGAACCCGGGTCTCCTGAGTACCAGGGAAAGGGTGATGACAAGGAAGCAAAAGCAAGATAACAAATTGGTAAGAGCAGAAATACTTAAATACAAGGTGCTGTTTGGAGAAATGACTTGGATGTCAGAAACGGAAGATTCTGAAGGCAGTCTGGCCTTTCGGTGTGGCTGGTCTCTGGTTGCAGGCGCAGAAGAGGGGATTTCACTTGCCATGACATCAAATGTAATAATTGTAAAAGATGTATATATCTGGAGCCAGTACTGTTTCCTTACAGAATTTATGGAGCAGCTACAAAGCTTTGACTCCAAGAGGATAACTAGGAAACATAAATAAGAAGCAGGAAGAACAGCTGCGTTTAGTAAGCATATGATCATTAAAATCAGAATTTATGCGAGCAAGAAATGTGAAGTTATTAAAGGTGAATAGGCAAATCTTTAGAGAAGTTGCAAGACACAGCAAAAAAATGATCACAGACAGCTGTGTGCAAAAAATAACCTGTATGGGGCTGTCCATAAATTATGTAACCCATTTTTTGGTGATTTTCAAGACCCATCCATCCCTTGTAACATTTTAACACTGAAACAAAACACGTAAAATTAAGGACCCATCCATCCCTTAATGCAGGGGTGCCCAACCTACAGCCCGCGGGCCACACATGGTCACCAGAGCACTTCATAAGGCCTGTGGCCTGCTTCAACACAATAGACTAACAGCTGATTCATTAGCATTTTGTCATCATGTTTACACACTTGTGTAAACTAAAATGATGTAAATAGCCTGTTTCTAGCTAAACATATGAAACAAGAAGGATTTAAAATATAAATCAGTACAGGTGACTTTAAATCTCATTAAAATATGTCGACTCT